CTAAATATTGAAATCTGACCGTGATTTATCCAGTCATATATCATGCTATTAGTAAATTTTAAATTAATTAAATAAAACCAGCATAATTACCAGCTATGTAGATATTTTCCTCAGATGAGTAGGTATTCCCAGAAACTTGATTGGTTGTATGGAGGTGCGTGAGTGATAGGAAAAGTATTAAAGAGTTTAAGAGTTTATGTCCAAGAGAGTTTAAGGGTAGAGTGTTAGTCCCAGATATTGTCCTGGATTTCTCTGCATGTCCGAGTTGGAGTCCCCAAACTTCCAATTCCTCCCTCCTCTCTCTTTTTCTTTTTTTTCTCTTCCCTCTGTCTTAACTTTTTAAAGGGAAAGTTCACTAGTTGATAGACCAATAGGAACACTGGAGGTGTGGTTACCTTCCAGATAGCAATTTAGTATTTGGTCTATAGAGGGCAGTCTTGTCCCACTAAACATACCTATCCAGGAAAGAGTTAACTTTTCTTGGTGGCTATTTTGATGTCATTTTGCTTTATCTTTATAGTTGCTATAATTTACGTTTTCTTTCACTTCAAAGGGTTTTCTCTTAGTTTTGTTCAGACTTAGTGTCCGCAATTCCTGCTATAATTTCTAATATGACAGTTCGTAAACTAAGTTTCACCTTAAACTACAATGGGAGGTTATACAATATAAAAAGTAAAATTTAATTATTTAATCTTCTCTGTCACAAATGTCTGGGTTTAGAATTGATTGTATTCCATTAGCATTTAGACAGTCTGTCCAACCCCCGTTCTCCTTATCACTTGGTTTGTATATACTATGCATTCCTTTAGCTCTGGGAAAGTGGTTAGTTTTACAGATAGAAATCTTGTGTCTTTTGTTAGCTTGAAAATAACAAAATGGAGTCTGCTCTGTTCAAAAGTGACTCAGCATATACACTTTTAATTTCTATCATAGCACAAGATGTCTGCCGATATAAATACCCTGACATAACCCCCCTTTAGTGCATTTCATAGCCAAAATTAATTTAGCTTATGAATAAGCACTATAGAAGTTACCAGACATATTGTGCAATCACATCATTTCTAACATAGGCCCGTGCGTGGAATGAACATTTTTGTATATATTTGTACCTGTAAGAGTTTTGAACTTTACACTTAGTACAATCAACCATAATATAATTATTATCATAGCACACCCAATAACAATCTTAACATGGATGAACCAGTCAACACGAGCAATAAGGTCAGTATCTAGCTCAGAGTATTTAAATGTATCCACAGAAATGTTATCTTTTCTGATTGACATTTGGATAGTATGGTTGGGCTTATGGTCCAGCAAGAACTTTAGATTAGGATCTAGAGGGATATCTAGATTCTGGAAGGGATCCACCATCTCAATAGCACTTTCGATGATGTCAGTGTACACTGGGTATAGCGTAACGTCACCGATGGTGATACGAGAGTCGTGGGATACCTTGATCAGTGAGACAGGTGCTGGTAAGGCAATTACTTTATTAGTCACCTGGTCCCTGCGAAAAACACTTATGTTTTTAAGACACGTGCTTACCAACCATTTATCTTTTACTAAGATAGCATGTACTAACGCATTACTGTCGGTTTTTGACATAGTTACTTGACATGTTTCAGAGCCATGTTTAAGGTACTCGATCCCACACAAAGCATTGGTAGAATCGTACACAAAAGGTTTTCCATCACATTGGAAATTATTGTCTTTGAATTTTTCACAGTCATTCAAAATGGGTATTGAATACCACTCTGGTATCCACGGTTGAAAAGCCAAAACATCTGGGGTTTGGACTTTTACATGGATATTTTCCTTCCAAGTACCGACATTGTAGATTGTTTTTGTAACCGTGTGTGGTTCCCTTATTTACCACTATAATGTCTTAAAGCATAGAACTTAGTAGGGCTAACCATACAGATATCTTAGCCATAATTTTATATAGTGTAAGAGATCCTCTATTTAACATATATAAATAATTGAGAATACAATATAAAATAAGGATTGTCTTGGAAGAAAGATTGTCTTTTTGGATATTTATTATATAAAAATATAAAATCCATTATAGCAGAGTTTATAAAATTAAATTACATGCTTGCAAATATCATTAATAGGTTAACATACCCTTCTGAACATGTCATCATGTCAGCCTCTCTGTCATTTTAAGATGGAGCAGCGTCTGTCTCCAAGTCTCTCCTCTGTGTCTTAACATTTAAAAGTACACCTATTTATACCTTAGATGTCTCCATTTTAGGTTACTGTAGTTCAAATATAAAAAAGTAACACTTCTTTTACTTTATTCAATTTAGGACCTCCCTTAATTTGGCAAACATACAAGGCCATAACTAAAGGGTGTATACGTCATGGAAATTTTCCTGACTTAGTTCAAGATGGCATCTTGAAGTCTGAATAGGTTATCTGTTGTTTATACTAAGTCGTAAGTGTACAGTAGTGGGAGATTCCCAGATTTAGGGAAGTTCCATTAACTTGGGGTTACCACAGTATATTGTGTACTGCAAGAGTCGTAGCATAGCCTTGAAACTTGTTTATGCATTATTGTTATTGTAATTCGTCTGGGACAAAATGGCGCAAACATATTATGCACTGAGGTTATTGCTTAAAGAAACATCTATGAAAAACAATATGTTCCATTTCTAACACCTTGTCAATTTGCAATATCTCTTAAAGACAAAGTACACAGTTTAAGAAATACAACATTTCATTCTAAAACTTGTAATATTTGCATTTGCCCATAACACCCTCTCCATTAAACTGTGGGCATTGTAGCGCATTTCTTCCTTAAATTAGTAAACCAAAGTTCTCCAACTGTCTTTAGGTTTTTTATGCTCCCAGCATCTTAGATCATTGTTGTAACAGTAAAATATCCGTAGTGTGATCTTTGCCTATAAAGGTGGTTGATTAAAATGAGCAAAGCTTTTGTCTGGGAAAGAATTGAAAAGAACACCAGGTTCCAGAGTAAGATATTCTTGGATAGATCCGGATACGAATTGTAATCCAAAGTTAAAAATAGTAATTGTATTTGTAATCCAAAGTCTTTAAAGACCTGTAGAAGTTTACATTCCTTAGATACATTGTTGGAGGTTGTGTTTGTAGAACACCCGGGTATTTGTTGTATAGTATAGGTTGTAGAGTCCAGCTTTCCAAATATTTGGATAGAATTGGTTGCAGATATTGAATCAGCATCATCTGTTATCACCGTGGTGATGGCGTTGGTATTTGTCTTTGTCTTTTGTCTTTGCTTTTTATTTTGTTTGTTTTTTCCATGAAACATTTTTACACTGTTTATGATGTGTATAGATTGGATACTCTCTGATATTCTTTTACGGAATAAATTAATTGACAGCATTTCCAAGACATTGTCTTAAGTGACATGGATCCCGTTATAGTAAATGTTATGTTGATACAGCAATCGAAGTGGATTCTCAGGAACACCTCTTTTTGCTGTATTGGAATCTTTGTAACATCTCAGTGATAGACATCTCACTGACATCAGGTGTTGTTGTGCAAAAAATGTTAACAGGTAAAATCTGTGGAAAAATCTTTACATTTGTTATAGTTTGTATAATAATGATAGATGAAATAGTAATATAGTTAATCTTTCTAGTGTTTTGTTTTAAAGATAAACACCCTTGTATATGATTTAGATATATAATGATAATTTGAAGCAGCAAAGTATTTACCGCCTTTGTTCACCATGGTATGTAAAATTACATTCTCTTTAAATGTTAAAATTCAAAAACTTTATTCCTTTATTCAAAAACTCTCAATATATTTAGAATAGTTGCTAATTGGAAATATGACGTTAATTATCTTTCTTTGACCTGTTAGGGAGAAGACAACTTATTCCCTAGTTAATAAAAAGTTATTAGTGGCTTAAAATACCAGAAACCCCCAAATATTGTCTTAGAAAACATTTTTTTTTTTTTTTAACCAAGATCTGACAGCCATTGTGGAAAGTTACATTCGTGAGATTGGATGCTTAACAATGTGAATCTTAATTGTTTAAGTATATTTTTCAGTGGCTGTTGGATGTAGCTTAAGATGATTAGAATTTTTATTATTTCTAAAAGTGAGTTAAGAAAGCACTCCGATACAATATTGAATGTATTTATATTTTAACTCTACCTTTGTATAGGTGGTTTATGTACCTTTAACCATTACAAACCAAATTACATTTTCTTTGTATTTGAAAAACTGATAAAATATTTGATTACGTGTCTTTTAATGTATATACATAGAGTGGTATGGATGTTGAATTTATATCTTTGACATCTTTTCACAAGTTTGCAATAGGTGACCTAACTTATCAATTTCCAAAATAATCATGTATATCACCTGGATGGGTTAATCCATAATACTCTTTTACTTTCCCTTGACTGGACTTAGCTCTGGCAGACTGAATATTTTTATCATTATAATTAAACTTTATGATAGTTGAAGTAAAGTTTCTGCCTGTCTTTCAGTTAAATTTTAACTGTTGAAGTACTTCACTTCAATTCATTATACCACTCTGCAAACTTAAACGAATATAGAATAGTTTCTGATTTAATAAAAACATTTCACATTTTCTTTTAAGGTTAAAACATTCATTATTGCAGTTGTTATTGCAATCATATGATTTTTAACTATCATGATTCAATTATTTATCTGGGTAATTAGCTGTTATACTCTTATACTTTATGTATAATATATTTGTTTGTAGGCCAGACTGCAGCTGCATATGGCATTTTAGCAATAATCTTCAATTGCGTTTCAGATATTCACAAAGTCTATCCACCTTTGTAATTAACACATTATGTGTGTCTTATACCATTAATTATAGTATCTCTATTATATTACACATTGTCACTGACACATTTCTGATACAGGGAAAAAATAGCATGATTGCTTTAGTAATTATAATTTTCGGTCCATGCACCACATTCCTGGAAGTCCAGAATATAGCAAGAATCCTTTGTCGTTTGATTCTATGGAGCCGTTTAACATTTTGATTGGTATAGTTATACCAAAAGAGCAAGGAGTACGACGGTAGATCACATCTGCAACAGAACCATTACAGATTCCTTGTTGTATCAATGTCTCTGTGTTTATGTTTACAGGAGTTCCTTGCTTTGTAGGTATGTACATAATATGTAGAGTTTAAGAAAAGCTGCAAATCGTGCTTTAGTACAAGTGTCCCGTCAGGTTTCTGAAAGATTTTGCTGGTCTTTTTCTATTCCATTCTCTTGGCAGGGCATCTGCTCTTAGTAGGCCGGTATTGTTATTATTTATTAATTGCATCAAGGTTTCTTTCGTTAATTGATGTGTTTCTTCCGAATTCAAATTCATATGCCACCAAATGTCATTGTAAAGTTCATTGTTACAGAATATTGTTCCAGGATGGTTTTTCACTCCAATAGGAAATCTATATTCCTCTTCTTCTGCTCCTTCCTATAAACCACTTTTTCTGAGTTGTAGGCAACAATTTGTGTTGTACTGCGAGGTGCTTTGATAGTCTATCAGGTTTTCTCAGTACCATGTTCCATCTTGAAAAACAGCTGGGTGTTGACAGTTATCAGCCTTTATTTCTTTTTCCGTCATCTTCTGTCTGGATACATAATTGCAATGTCCAGAATTAGCATAGCACTTCTTTTCAGCATAAGAAGGCTGTTTGCTGTAGTCATTCAATGATAAACTATATTGCAAACTCTTTTCTTAATCACCTTCATAGGTGCATCCAAAGTCTTTCACAAGCATCTATCTCGTCTTTTTCTGTTTTCAGCATGCTTTGCCATCATCGTTGAGTCCATTATTAGGATTTGAAATAGTTCAATCACATCTTTCTCACGTATAATCGGTTTTTGGAATGATCTCAATAGGTTCCTTGTGAAATACCAGTGTAGGTCACATTAGCAATCATTTCACTGTGAGCTGTGTCTCTCCTTTTGAGATAGTTCTTGGAGGTAGTCCTCACGATCAAAGAACTTGTATAGTGTGCAGTCCAATTCATTTCAGGTGCTTCCTGCTTGTTAACATAATCCCAATGCAGTTTTAAAACGACAGCTAGGGTTGATGTTATGATAATGCTGCAGACTGTAAGAAGGAGACACCATAACCAATTTTCTAGCATCATTTTGCTTCCATCTTTGCATTTCTTTCTTACTGTATAAGATAATTCAGGTTCAGTCTGTTTTCTCCAGAGTCTTTCTTATAATGATGTTGATGATTCATTTTTCATACATTCCATGTTAACTGTGAATGTATCACGTCTGTCTGTTCATCCTTCTCCTTCACATTTGCAGGTTCAGATGTCAGATCATGATTCAGTCTGTCTATGATTCTGGTGGCTTTTCTGTCGTCCTCTGTTTGTTTTATCTTGCCATCTTTAACAGCATCCATTGTGTCAGTCAGTGGTTCTGTGAATGTCCTGTTAATATTTAGCAGGTTGTAAAATATCAAAACTTACTGTTCTCTGTTGGGTCTGATTGTTCTCTGTAGTAAAAGTTCTTGGTATCACCCTCTCCAGGACAAACTGGCCAACAGAAGGAAATAGGTGGTGGTGCAAGGCGAAGTGGACTGGAAAAAAAATAATTCCCTAAATTTCTCTAATAGAACCAATGGTTCTAAGCTCTCCCTGGTGCAGAAATATATTTGTCAGTGAAAAACATGTAACATTTCATATGGTGTCTCACCATTTGTATCATCAGGTATGTTGTGAATGCTTATCTGTACCATAGGAATAAATAGATACCACTGTGTGGGGCAAGCAGCTAGTAACTTGGTTAATAATCATTTAACCTCAGCATTTTCCCAGACCACAACCCCACTTCTTTGGGGGTGGTTGGGGCACTGAAATCCCAAAGTAACCCAAATGTGGTTGCCCAGTTTTAGGTTTCCTTTGCAGTAACTGCAGGACCACCATCCAAATGGATGGTCCTGGGATTATCAAATGCATACTAAGGAAGTGAGACTAGAAAACGTGGCATCAGAGGTTGCACTTCGCACAGGATATATCCAAGTAAACCTGGTACATGCATCAACACATACAAAAACATATTTATAACCATGAGATGTTGGCAAACTTCCAATATATAGTAATTCAAAAAGTATGTTGGATATTAATATTTCAATAAACAATACATCAGTAATGTGGCAATAAGCAAATGCTTATGATTACTAAACACATGAATTACAGTATTTCCCATATTGTGACCACCAATATTCCTTTTCAGGAGTCAGAAGTACATTACCTCTCTCTATAAGAGCTTGTCCTAGCCATGAAAAAGCTTTTAGGGCAAGTCCATCTTTCCTCTATAGGAAGAACAACCAACATATTACCTTCAATGGTTATTATGTAATTAACCCCTGTAAACGATAGGAGTATTTATGCGGATACCAGGTGGATAAGGTCTGGATATCCTTGCAAGCATAAACTCTGCATCATGACTGAGAGATAGGGTATGCGATGTGATCCAGTGACCACAGAAAAGCGTTGGTAGACACATTGCATCAAAGTGCCTGTTAATGACCAACTACATGAGGAGAGGGCCCATGCTTTGTTATAAGCATGTCCATACACGTATTACAATGCCAGGCTTTCAATTTGTTTCCACAAAGCAAAATGCAGTTGTGGATATAAACTCACGACGTATCGTAAGAAAAACTGTTTGAACACCAGACTGAGATTCGAGATCAGTGAACAGTGGACCAAAATAGATAAATTAAATCTTATCAATTAATATACTTTCAATATATTTTCTTTAAATTACTTTATCCTCTGTATTAACTATGAAATATTAAAGTTAAAACAATAACATTTAAAAGCCAACTTTTAGTGTGGATAGGAATTACAAAGCCGTTCATAATGTGAGATAAAGAACAGCTTTTTAAAACCGAATAGTCTGTGAACACAAGATGACCTTGCGCTGAAAACTCACTTGCAGGGGAAAAACAAAACAAAAAACTTTTTTTTTCTTTAGTAAGTTAATTAATTAATTAATTAAACATAGCTAGAACCTCCCTCAAAGTCCCGATGACTTTGCAAGAAACATGTCGTCCTTAAATACTGGGTAAGTCTATTAAACAGTGACATAGCAATTTTACCCTGTGTATTATGTTGTCAGAGCTATTCATAACTATTCATAAGTGTTGTGCCAACTGTTCATTAAAAGCCAGCGGTCTAACGAGCTATAGAATGTTTATTTATTTATTCTTTAAATCTCTGACCTCAATCGGCAAAGCAATATTGTATTGGTGTCCATTGCAATCTGCTGTCTTACTTGCTGCTCTCAAAAATTCTGAATATGTTCAGAGATTTCTTGGGCAATAATAAATCCCCCAAAAAACAACAACTTTGCATTTATGCTAAACCTGCCTGTTGTAAACGGATTCTGTATATTTCTTGTCATAAGTACTTGTACTTAAATCTGTTTAACAAAGCTGTTTGTATTGTGACTGTTTATATATTTTTATTATTATTAATTTATTTTATTTTTTTATTTTTTTAACATTGCTAAATTTTTAAAGATACCTGCATATTTAATTAAATATCCTTTATATGTCTTTAAGGCATAAAATATCTGCAAATTAAGATTATATGCAAAAATGCATGTTCTGGGTGTTCCTGTGATTCCTTTTCTATCATTTATTTTTCTTTAAGTCTGGAATCTGATTCCTTTTGGGATGAGCACCCCTCTGAGCCCCCCAGTTTCAGAGGCTTCTTTAGAAGTGACCACTGAAAAGTATAGATTCTATAAAATAGATGTGAGGGGGCATTGGGCAGTAAAGTCACCTTAATTATACTTTTCATATAGCAGATATGTGATATGCAATGTGATTTAATATATCAGAGTATTATCACTTTAATTGACACTATTCTTTATGCATTATTCTTTTTCTTTTTTTTCTTAAATTTTAATGTCTGTTTAGAATATTGCAGCCTTGCAATATCAAATTAATTTTGCATTATATGTGCTTTTACAACATATTAAAATTAGCCTCTTTCAGAATTGTAGAATATGTGGTGGAACTGAATCCTCATATATGAGATTTGAAACTGTATTTTTATATCTACTCTGTGCCCTAATCTGTATTTATATACATAATTGCGGCAGCATATAGCTTTTAAAGAAGCAATTATTACACCCATCATGTGTGGTGATTGCGGACTTTTTAAAACCTACTTTTTATTTTTTATAAATCTGTTTCTGGCTTTGAGAGAGCAGGCTGCTGAATGCATGTAAATGCTCTTAATGCTTAGTCTCTATACATTTATTTAATCGTATTTTATAAAAACCTAGTTTATGAAATTCACTGAGATTACATGTGTCTGATCTGATTACAGTCAGTAGTACAATATCATTGTTCTAATTGCCTTACTGCTAGCACTCCAGGTACGGTGGGATAGTACCACTGATTTAAGTAAGCTTTCCCTTTTAAAATTGGTGGACTTTAATCCTGCCATTGCAATAGACTAAAGACTGTACCTGAGTAAGCAAAGTCATTATGTGCAGGAATTGTGCACTTTAAATAGTAGAATACTTATGCTATTCTAGTGAATTGGGCTGGCTGCTTAACACATCATTTAATATATTTTGGTCACATTTAAAGCTGTAAATGTATTTAACATTTTATTTAAATAAGCCTTTAATAATTTCAGTTTAAAAGTTATCAGAGATCCTGTATAGTTACCATTTTATTTTGCCCTGATTTCTTACATATATTATTTTTAATAATTTTCTAAATATTTATTTTTGCATAGCATTTAGAGAAGCAAAGGATGTATAACCACCTGTTGCCCTTTTTTCTAGGAGGGTAGTATAATTTCAACTCTGTTTAGGAAAAAATATAAGCTAGTTATCTTATATTATATAATATATATGCTGCAGTGTACTGCATTGTACTGCACTCAATGTATTTAATAGCCATGTCTTTCTCTCTATGGCTGTATGTAATAATGTTGTTCATAATTTGGAATATAAAACAACGACTTCTCAGTTCCTTGGAATGTTTACATGTCTCTGTATCTCTGCAACCTTGGCTGGAAATTCCAGACTCCAAAAATAGTTATGCTGTTATAATTCCTGATTTTCAATCAACAGCTAGCGTAACTGACAATATGGAAAATATCACTGTTTTATAAAACTTTTCATATATAGTGGACATTAGAATCCAGAATGCAGTAATGCAATAATTAAAAATCATGTCTGTCTGTTGCATGAATGTTTTCATTAAGCCATAATGCATTTTTTCTTTGCATTCTTGGAATTAGACTTCAAATTTCATCGCTCTGTCTTATCACTTTTCTTTTGACAACATTTTGCATTAATCTTTTTCCTGCGCATGCATGCTAAGCAGCTACAAAGAGAACATATCCCCCTGTCTGCAATCCACTGTCCTGGAACTAACGGGCCATGCTATGCTGGTGTATTAGGCATTTGTTCTATTATGATATTAGTTAAGATCCACAATTTCAGCATTGTATGCTAATTACGTTGTACCTGGCACCTAAACTCACAGTGCCTTGTTCACATTAAAATCATCTCTAATGATCTCTCTCTGAGTCTGGGCTACAAGTAGCTCAATAGATTCTTGATATTTCAAGACTTGTGCCATGACAAAGTGTTGTGTCTTCTCTTACGTATAAGAGGTTACCTAGGTATTTATTTTATATTTAAAGCTTCCAAGTACAAAGTCCCTTCGTGGTCGCCAATTGTAACCGTGTGTGGTTCCCTTATTTACCACTATAATGTCTTAAAGCATAGAACTTAGTAGGGCTAACCATACAGATATCTTAGCCATAATTTTATATAGTGTAAGAGATCCTCTATTTAACATATATAAATAATTGAGAATACAATATAAAATAAGGATTGTCTTGGAAGCAAGATTGTCTTTTTGGATATTTATTATATAAAAATATAAAATCCATTATAGCAGAGTTTATAAAATTAAATTACATGCTTGCAAATATCATTAATAGGTTAACATACCCTTCTGAACATGTCATCATGTCAGCCTCTCTGTCATTTTAAGATGGAGCAGCGTCTGTCTCCAAGTCTCTCCTCTGTGTCTTAACATTTAAAAGTACACCTATTTATACCTTAGGTGTCTCCATTTTAGGTTACTGTAGTTCAAATATGAAAAAGTAACACTTCTTTTACTTTATTCAATTTAGGACCTCCCTTAATTTGGCAAACATACAAGGCCATAACTAAAGGGTGTATACGTCATGGAAATTTTCCTGACTTAGTTCAAGATGGCATCTTAAAGTCTGAATAGGTTATCTGTTGTTTATACTAAGTTGTAAGTGTACAGTCGTGGGAGATTCCCGGATTTGGGGAAGTTCCATTAACTTGGGGTTACCACAGTATATTGTGTACTGCAAGAGTCGTAGCATAGCCTTGAAGCTTGTTTATGCATTATTGTTATTGTAATTCGTCTGGGACAAAATGGCGCAAACATATTATGCACTGAGGTTATTGCTTAAAGAAACAGTTATGAAAAACAATATGTTCCATTTCTAACACCTTGTCAGTTTGCAATATCTCTTAAAGACAAAGTACACAGTTTAAGAAATACAACATTTCATTCTAAAACTTGTAATATTTGCATTTGCCCGTAACAGAGCTCTATTGGATTTTTAGCAAAATACTTTTTTAGACATAGGTTTCTTTTAAATTTATTCAGATCAATATAAAAATCTAATTGATTTAATGGTTTACTCGGGGAAAATTTTAATCCTTTAGTTAATACCTTTTTATGATATTCTGTTAATATTTTATGACTTAAATTATAAATTCCTTTCATTTCAATTATATTCTCTGTAGTATCTCCAGTTTTTCTTTTTTTGACATGTTTTCCTCCTCTAGTACCTCTATGCTCGAATTTCTTCTTCTTTTGTAAGGTGTTATAGTATTTGGTAAATCCTCTCTTTTGTGTCTGTCTTTGCCCCTGCTCCTCCAAAAATCCTGATTTTCAAATTCATCTAGGACCTGAAATCGATTTTTGGTAGCTATTGGTTCATCTTTCCTGTGCTGGGTAGATCGATAATATGGTATATTTCCTTTAACTTCATTTTTATAATCTGGTTGTGGTCTATCCTTTTCATATCTAGGTCTTCTCTCATATCTTTCTTTGTCATAATATGTTTTCTCCTCCTGATATCTATCTTTGTATTGTGAATATTTAGTTCTAGGTTTAACATTCTGCCAATTACTGTATGAACGTTGTTCATAGTGATTTCTGGGTTTGTGGTAGTATATCCTATTTTCCCCATGTCTCCAATGATAGTTTTCCCTTGGTGGCCTGTTTTCTCCATGTCTCCAATGGTCATTTCTCCTTGGGGTCTCTTTATCAAAAACTTTTTTATGGATTGTGGGTTCTTGTAATCCTTCTCTAATTTCTGAATGTTTTTCTTGATGGTTATATTTAGAGAATGTTCTAACTTGTTTCAATTTATAATCCCTGATGTCTCTAAGATATTTACTCTTTTTTATATCTATCACTTCTCTTTCCATTTTATCTAGATTTTCTCTAATGTCTCGTGTAGTGATATCAAATTCCTCTTGGTTTAGGGAATTTAAAATCTCATTCTGACATTTATTTATTTCCAAATCTAGTTCCTTTAGATTTTCTTTTCTCCTTTTCAAAATCAGATGCATAGTAGTAATGGAGAAATTTTCCAACATTCCATTCCATTCCTCCATAAAGTTAGTTATATCTTTATCAAATGTAGGAGTTTTGAAATATCTTAAACCTCTTGGAGTAATACCTTCTTTTAAATATTTTTCAAAAGTAGCTATCTCCCACTTAATTTTCAGTTCCTTCTGTAATAATTTTTCTAATTGATTACTGGTGTTGCTTTTTTCCTGTTATTTTCTTATTAAGTGGTTGATCAGTCCAATTTGCCAATTCTGTTTCCATCTCCACATATATATTTTTTCTTTTATCAAATAGTGACATATCTAAATATTTAATTAAAGCTGCTGAGTACAATAGTATTAAGATAAGACAAATACCAAAAATAGAATCTAAAAAAGGAGGGAAGTACCAGCGCTAATTTAAACACAATATACAGTTTAGCCACACCAATAAGCCGCTACACACTGAGATCTTATCTTATACAATAGAAGAAAACATACAAAGTGATGGTGGAGCGCTATATATACAGTAGTGGAGATATAAGTAGGAACGCTATACCTTATATACAAATCTTTTAGACTGGGTATATCGTAGCAAGTGTATAGTTCCTAAAATGTAAACACAAAAACCGTCCCATAGTGTAAAACTGTAACATACAGGTATTAAAAAGGTACAAGAGATTATTCTCACTCACAATCTCTAGAGCCAGATAATTATGGCTCGGTTCTTGCGTTTTAAGGGTCCGTAGAGGCGACCCTCTCCCTTCTTTATGGTTATTTCTTCTTTTAAACCTCCATATTGGACATAGAACAAATATGGTGGAGTACCTTCAGTTTAATATCTTGTGAATATTGAGGATAGAAAAATGGGTACTCACAAGCCCTGAGCCCTCCAATTAGGCTCAATGTGACAGCTTATGTGGTTAAAGACCACACTCCTTCTTTCTAATAGCAGGAAAAAACTTATACAAAAATACTATGCCAATAGTGGAACGAACACACTATACTTTATTTTGAACACGCCTTTGCCAACTTGTCCTTAACCCCTTCAGGACCGTCAGCGGTAAAACGTGCGTTTGGACCGCTAACTGTCCTGAACCGTCATAGCGAAAAACGGGCTGCGGGAAGCGATCAAAGATCGCTCCCGCCGGTATAACACTGTAACTATCTGCCAGACATATAGTAACAGCCAATCTGCGATCGCTCACAATTGGCTGCTGTCAAAGTGGGTGTTACAAACACTCACTTTGACAGTGATCTCTGCCCTTCTCTCCTCTGTAGCGTTTTGTGAGGCGAGAGAGACAGAGATCGTGATAGTTTGTTGCAGCAGTGTTCAGTGACCATCAGAAAGTATCAGTATTTTATTAAAAAAATCACCTTTTAACCCCTTCCCTGACAGATCTGTTACAGCAGTGCATTTGTACTGTCTGTATTTTTTTTTTTGCCGTTAAAGGGTTACATTTGTTTTAAAAATGTGTGTCTTGGGGGGGCGGAGTCTGACCTCGGAGCTGCACAGACGAGAGTACCGCGATCTTCTGCTGAACGGGTGAAATTTGAGGCAAAATCGGCGGCTATGGAGACCACAGACTCACCGGGGTGCACTTCCCACACTAGGAGTGCACCACTGAACAGAATGATGCCCAATAGACGCCTGTCAGAACCGGGCAACTGGAACGCCAAGTGCGGCCTACTGGAGAAGGAGCTGGGGAGAGGCGGCCGATCTCCTTGGAACCGGACCCAACAAGCGACACTGACTGCTTGTACGCCTCCTACCTTCGGACTATGGCCCTGGGATATATGGCATTTGAAAACACTGGAGATTGTGCACAAATATGACTATTGTCCATATTTTTTATGATTCCCTTTGTTTGTTGCACTGTTCCCCATGTGTTTCATCTGTTGGTCCGGCTGGATAGACTACCAGACAAACTGTGGAGTTACTGGGTGGCCACCATTTCATGTATCAGAGGCACATGGTGAGAACAATGGATGGCGGCCATTTTAACTCACAGACACTTTTCTACACGGTGCCATCTCGCCAGTATTTGGTGCACAAAGACATCGTGCAGTAGTTTTAAACTATACAACAGGGGACACATTATACAGTATTAATTTTTCATATAGCCTGTATATGTTCTGCGGAATCTGCATTAAACTGTATCTTCCAAACTACTGAACGGATCTGGGTGAATTTTGGATATGTGGTTCACCCAGATCACCCGGTTCCGAGGATATACCATTTTATGGGGTTATTGCATGTTTTGGGGTCCCTGTGATATGTTTTATAATACTGTATTTCTCTGCCTGTGATAATTATATTAACCATTGTGTTCAGTAATCATATCACAGGCAGAGGGGAGGATTTTGTGTGGTAGTGTCTATGTGTATTGTACGGATTGATTGTTTGTATTTCAAAACCCTGTGGGCAGTACTATGTTTGTGGATTGTGAATAAAAGAGGCTGTATGTGCCAGTACAGTCAGTTCTGCTTGACCTCAAAACGAAGTGTCGTCTCGTTATTGGGGGAATTGGATTGTATGCTGATTGCCAGGAGTGTAAGCTGATTGTATGCTTTTCCTGTTCAGCGGCTTATAGCATTCATATGCTTGAGAGCATTCGTATGTTTCTCCGGTTCGGTGGTTGTGGTCTCTGCTGCAGTGCTTGGAGTCCTCAGGAAGCGCTAGGAGCATCCTTCAACGGAGGTACCCAGTTGGGGTGCCAGGTGATCCATTACAATAACATACAGTAGTTTAGCATGATATAAGTAGCCTCCGTCCCACTTAATATGGTGCCAAGCCTAATTATGTCCCACTAAGGTTACTTCTTCTATACACTCGCATCTGAGCAAAATGTTAGCTAGCGACTGTTAAGCCTTAAGTATTAATGCTCAAATGTAGTCTATAGCGATGTATATAATAGACAGAATTTGCGCAGTGAGGCATGTCTACTCAGTAAATCCTCTTATCGACATAACTACCTGTATAATCAGTTACATCAGTCAGTGAAAGCTTATGTATAATCTACTTTATCCTGTTTCACAATACTTAATTTTCTTTAAAAATAGTGCAAGGTATTTCCATGCCATGCCTATGTACCAATATATATGACAATGATTTGTCTGCTGACGCGGTCGTGGCATCGCAAACTTGGTTGTAACTACCCGCACTGCAAAAATAAAGAATTTTAAAAAAATAAATAAAATATCTGTGTCTTGGTCTGTTTTAGTCAGTCAGTTTCCTTCCCCCAAATTTCCATTAGATTTTTGTGACAGGAGTTAGTTTAGAGATTGCTGTTTAGTTTGTTTTAGTAAAAAAAAAAAAGAAAAAAAAAAAAAAGTATAAATTTTTGTGTGTGTGTTTGTAATTTGTTTTAGTCGTGTGTAAAACATGCAGCGTATGTATAACTTGCAGGAGGCATATGCCACACTGCGTCAGATTTTGACCCAGGTCAGTTTTCTGACACGTCTAGTCAAGACGACATGTCATCTGTGTGTGAGCCGGCCTAAGAAAGAAGCTGTGCTTCCTCTGCTATGCCGAACGTGGAGGAGGACTGGGTACCTCCACAGTTAGCCGAGCCCAACGTCCACCCTTTTAGTGCCAACGCAGGCATTAATGTTAATGTGGATGGCTTCTCCCCAATGCAGTTTGTAGAACTATTTTTAGGGGATACCATCTAGGAGGAGATTGCTTCCCAGACTAACTTGTATGCTACCCAATTTATTGATAACAATCCAGGTATCTATACAGTCAGGGAGCATGACTGGCATCCCACAGATGTCCCAGAGCTTAAAAAATTCTGGGCTCTTACAATGCTCATGGGGATTATAAAGAAGCCATCGATTCGCTCATACTGGAGCACCAGCCCAATAATGTCTAGTCCAGTATTCTCCCAAACCATGCCTAGAGCCAGATACGAGTTACTGCTGAGATTTTTACATTTCAGTGACAATACCCTCTGTCACCCTAGAGATCACCCCCAATACGATAGGCTTCATAAAATACGCCCACTGCTAGACCATTTTCAGGACAAATTTTGGGATGTTTATACCCCCCAACAAAATTTATCCATAGATGAATCGCTAATGAAATACAAAGGGAGATTAGGGTTCAGACAATACATCCCCTCAAAGCGCTCTAGGTATGGCATAAAACTGTACAAACTGTGCGAGAGCGAAAGTGGATATACGTTTGCCTTTCGTGTATATGAGGGGAAAGATGGTCAAGTGGACCCTCCTGGCTGTCCTGACTCCCTGGGGACAAGTGGGAGACTTGTATGTGACCTACTAAACCCCTTGTTTAATAAAGGTTACCACCTTTATGTGGATAATTTTTATAGTAGTGTCCGTCTGTTTAAAACACTTTATGGTTTACAGACACTGGCCTGCGGCACTGCCAGAAAAAATTCCAAAGACTTTCCACGATTTCTCATAGAGACAAAATTCAAAAAAGTGATTGTAAAGCACTTCGCAAACCTGAAGTGCTTGCACTAAAATTTAGGGACAGGAAGGATGTCAACATTCTAACCACCATCCATGACGAACGCATGTCAGACGTCTCTGTCCGAGGCAGAGTAGAGTCCAAACCGGTTTGCATCAGGGCATATAATAAGTACATGGGGGGTGTTGATTTGGCTGATCAGCTGATGCAGCCATATCTTATTTTACGAAAAACCAAAGCATGGTATAAAAAGGTGGCTATCTATCTGATGCAAATAGCAACCCACAACTCATTTTTTCTTTTTAAAAAAATAATCCAGGGAAAACCACCTTTCTCCAATTTCAGTTGAAAATAATTTCTTTAACAATTTATGGAGATGGACAAGTTCCAACAACGGTGCAAGCTGAGTGCAGACATTTTATTTTTAAGTTACCGCCAACTG